TCATTTAGAATAATAGTTAAGAAACATGGTGATAGGATCAAGATGGGGCTTTAGGTTGTCTTATTATGTGTCAGCCTTGTTGTAAGTGGGTTCAATTTGATAGATAATATAAAAGTGATTTGTTTTTAACTTCATTGTATATATTCTATGAATTCCCTCTGGTACCATGAAAGTCCCCTAATCCTCTTTTTACATGTTGAGTGGTCTCAAAAATTCACTTACGTATCCATTAAAAATTATGAAGTGCTTTTTTACATACCACTGTAAACAAACAGCAGGTGTTTCTAAGTGGTTGGAAACTACTGAATCTTGACACAAGTCTTTGTTTTAGGGATGTTCAGATACCAAGTACCGTACTCGGTACAAGTACAGATACTTTTCCAACTCCAAGACTAGACTAGGGAAAATTCAAAAGTTAGGAGGCAGCTGTCATTTTTAAAGAGCACACGGAGCTCCTGGGATTTGTACATCTCTGTTTTAATGTATGATTTTGTTTTTATAAACATATATATAAGGGATGCACCGATACAATTTTTTTCAAGTACAAGTACTGATACTTGCCCAGGTAGTCACAAATAAAAGTACTGATACATTTTTGTTTATTGTCATGTGACAGTTTTTTCTAAAACAATAGAGACTAATGATTTCAGGACAGTGGTGGAGCACCGGAGCCAGGTACCAGCTGCAAACGCTGCAACCCTGGTAGTTCTCATGCTAATGCCAAGTATCGGCACTGGTATCGGAACATCCCTAATTGTAATCATTGAGGATCATTGAGAGATAATACCTTCAAATTAAAAGCAGTCAGATAGGTCAGGGATGGCTTGTTTTACAGTACTTGTATTGCTTAAAGTGGACCTTTACCCATATCTTTAAAATAACAACACACACACCTTTAGAAATGTTTAGCAATGACAATCTACACACACATACTTCTACACAATAGCAGGCTTTGTATTCTTTGCATACCTCATTTCTCTTCCCTAGTCTTCTGATAGTGGCCCTGTTAACTAAGTGCAGATTACTAGATCTCCTTTCACTTCCTGGATTTCTTGAACATGTGACTAGACATGTGACTAGGACATGTGACCATGCACATCATCTCAGGGGAGGAAAATGCCTTTCCCCAAGATCTTGTGAGATTACAGATGAGATTTCTCAGCAATGCTCTGCTGATGGCAAGGCAATCCCAGTGTGCATTGCTTTGGCAAACTGAAGTCATTTTGCCCTTTCAAAGCAGGAAGTGAATGCTCTGCAAGTGTAAGTATTTCATAATCATAGCATTTTACACCTGACATGTCTGTTATTATTAATCATACATAGAGTGATGCATTGGTAGAATTTGATTTTTTAGTGTAAAGGTCCGCTTTAATGTGACACTAAACTCAAGAGTTAAACCTTAAAAATGCATTCAAGTACCTTAACTAACAAAAATGTATCTTATTTGTGTATCACTCGACTGTAGATCTTCACATCATATCTGAATTGGTGCTGACACTGTCCTTCCTTCGTTCTGGAGGGTGGCTACTTTTGTTCCCCATGGTTACTGCGTGTGTTGTAGAGTAGCCACTGCTCCCGTGATAATAACTTCAATACAAATGATTAAACTAAACATGAGATCATAGTCCATCCTGGGCGCTGCAGGAAACTACCAGTGCTGGGTTCTTAGCACAGAAAACCAACCAGATACATTTATGGATTTCGATAAAGAAAACGTGTACTCAGTTAAATATGTAGGCTCCCAATACTGACATCATTCTGAAAATGCTAGGTGTCCGGCTTTCTCATTTCAATAGTTCTTAATCACTGAACAAGATCAAACATGAAGTAAATAAAAGTCAGAGTGAAGTCAGTAATCCTAATCTGCAGATTTGTTCTGGATTAGTGAGTCAGAAAGCACTGAAGCCATTTGATCAGTGTGGCAGCCAGGTAATTAACATTTTCAGAAGAAGCTTAGCAATGACAATCAATTATTTCTCTCAGCATTTGTTTTCTTTAATCAACCACGTATGTTGTGTGCACTTATTTCCTGAAATCTGCACACTATACAAACTATTTTTTTTTCATTACACTAATAAGCATGTTTTCCATAATATTAACACTTGTAGTATGTTTCATTTGGATGGATCTTTTCATAATGTCAGACTGAATTAGATTCATCTAGAATAGATATCTGAAGTATCGATGGTTCATGATGCAGAGCTAACATTAAAATGACTTGTAGAAAAAGATTCAACTCAAAAGAAGTCATTTATTAATAGTTCCGATTACAAATAGTTATAATTCATGTCATTCTATCACAATATTATTGTTTTTCATTTCCAATTATTCATTTTGGTAGCAGAAGATAAAATAACAAATCCCATAAATCTGAACACACAAAATATTCATGTTACAAAATGAAGTCTATGACTTTCCATGCAAACAGCCTGCCTCATCTCAAACCAAATATATGTTCTAGTCTAAAAGGAAATGTGAATGTATAAGAACCAATTGTTAAGTATCTTAGCTGCCTGTCAATAAATGTAAAAAGAACCAATTACAGTAGCTTAGTTGCTGAAATGTTTTGCCTAGATCAGTTACAGCAGTGGTAGCAGGGCGATCCCTATAATGAGCCTGAGGATGTTGCCTCAGGTGTCATTTCTTTGGGTCACCTGGGGGGACGCCTGGCAGAGTGGCTTGGCCGCTCGGCTGCACAATGTTTGCAGTGTGGCTGCTGCCCCCTTTCCGGCCAGAGTGTCCCAAGTTGCTAAGAGCTGGGTGGGGAGATGTGTAAGGGCCATACACATCTCCCCGCCCAGCTCTTAGCAACTTGGGACACTCTGGCCAATGTCCCACCAAGCTCCTAGCAACTGGCGACATCACTGATTACCAGGAGCTGAGTGGGATGCTCTGGCCGGCATAGTCCTCCCCACCCGGCACTTGCACCACCAGCACCCACTTAGGGATGCTAGGGACACCCCTGAGTGGTAGTCCTTTTCCCATCCACCATATTTAACAGATGACTGGAAGACAACTGTTCACTAGATTGAGTCTAATCCTCTGATTGGTAGTTAGGCACGTTGATGGTAAGAACTTTGATTGGTCCAAGCACGTGTCACCTTACTGTGCAGCCTTATATGAGCTATGGGTAGTCATAACAATGCCTCTAAATTATACCTTGCCACCATTAGAACATTAGTTTACTAAACGAAGCATATTAAAAAAGTAATTACAGGCTTTTTGACGTGTGCTAGTTCCACAAATTATACTAACATGCATTTCACCTTACCATCAGACCATCTTTGCTTTATACAGTGTGATGACTTTTTAAATGCCAAATCAATTGTTCAAATTTTTCTATTTTTTAACAGTTATAAAGATCTGTTTGTAAGAGCTGGTTTACACCTCCCTGTGTGTTTTCATTACCACATAAGAACCAACACAGTGCGCCTTTGGGATTATGCCATTGTCCACATCATGATGTGTGCAGGTTGCATTTTAGTGTTGTCCCTTGTGTGTATTGAAAGATGTGGGATGATTCCTTTCATTACGCTAGAAGTTGTTAACTGCTACATATATTTCACTCCTGCTTTTCCTGCTCAAGCAAACGAATGAGATCTTTATTTTTACAGTACAGTATCTACTTGCCTCCTTCTTGATGAATATCTTATCGAATATAAGGCATCTGTATGAATTCTTGTTCCTTATGTTCTGGCAGTGACACTTCAGTTCCTGTACTTGCCACATACTTTGTAGCAAGTACTTTTGCTCATCACTTCTGCAAAAGGGTCTAAGCATGCTGCCTCAAACTTGTAACCCCCCTCCTATAAGGATACCAGCCAATATGGCTGGTGTTCCATTGTGGTACTCTTGTAATTAGGGGTGTTCTGTTCTTTTTTAATTTTTTCTGATTATTAGATTATCAATTATTAGATTGTGTGTGTGTGTGTGTGTGTGTGCGCGCGCGCGTGTGTGTATATATAACAAATCCATTAGAGAATCCAGACTTATTAGACTAGTGAGAACCTCTATTTGCCAGTGATAATACATCAGGTTTCTATGATCAGCCTTGGTTTCTCTGCATTCAGTTTGAAAGCTGAGCATCATAAGAAAGGTTCAGCATATCACAAATGCATTAATTATTTTTTACAAAAGGGCCCAGTGGTGGTGAAAAAAATTTAATGGCTGAATGAAGCATCCGCTTTCCTTAAGTGCACACCACAAATAATAATTACTTTAACAAAACTGAAGATACAAACAGTCTATTTAGTAATAGTGAAATACATACATAAAAACATTGGATCCCAGAACAGAATGAGAGGAAAAAACACTAGACTCCTGGGGAAAACTCTGACTGCCCATAAGTAAACATATCCTGAACAGATAGATTAGTTCCTTAATGAGATACATCAACCATTATACTGCAGCTATAGCCACTATATCTAGTTCTATGGTGGTTGGTCTTCCTGTTCTAGTAAAGATTATTTCTCTAGCTTATCAGCAGTTTATCTTTTAATGATGCAATGAGACTGATTTACTAAAGTGCAGAAAAGTAAGGTGAACTTAAGTGATTGTGGGTCAGAAAACTGAAGTGACCCTGTGTTTACCTCAAATATTCAATTATGTGCAGGGAAAATCAAAAAAATAGAGCTTCTCCCTCACATTATTGAAGGTTTGAAGTAAAGGCAGGTTCACAGGCTCACGCTACACATCAGTAAATCAAGCTCACTGCACTTCATCTTACATCACTGCATGGAGCACGTTAGTAAATCACATATTTGTGAGCTTTGTATTTGTAGTATAGTCATTGAGTTTCCGGTTTTGGAATTGGTATATAATTAAAATTTCTTTGAAAGTAAACATGGGCACATTGACTTGGTGCCTTCAGACGGGTCACATTCTTCTATTTTTGCCTTGAGTGTTGGTAAATAGAAGATATGCAAAATGGGTCTTATAATTATAGTGTGTTACTGTCCTTGAGGTCTTTTTCAGCATAGGATTGGTGGAGCTACCACGGGTTATGACAGTTTGATATCAACAAGTGGGGTTTCATCTGTATCCAGCTTTGTTTCCAGTTTCAGCAATGGCTTTTCTGAGACGGAGCTTGCCTTCTCTTCATCCTGAGCTGGAAGAAGCTCAGCCTTTTCACTATTCTTTTTCTTCTTAACGGTGACCACTTCGGTATAGGTCACTTCTGAGATGGGTTTCACAGTTTCATCCTCAGAAACAGACTCTTCTTCATCATCTTTGCCATTTTCTTGACCTTCTGCTGTTGTACGTTCTTTTTCCTTCTTCTTTTTATTGAGTTTAAATGTATCCTTCTTGGGTGATGCTTTTGCTATGGATTGTTTAAATCTCTCTCCAGACTGTTTTAGCCTTTCTCCAGATTGCCTGATTCTCTCCCTTCTTTCGGGAGTAACTATCCTGGTGCGAATCCTATTGACTTTCTTTCCAAAGTTTTGCTGTGTCTTCTGCATGCTTTCTTTGGAAAATGCTTTTTTGATGTTGTCGATGCGCTGCATGCCAGATTTTTTTAGACGTGAAGCTCTGGACTCTGGCACTTCATACTCCTCATCAGAAGAAAGGTCATTTGGTGAATAGAGTTTATCCTTCAAGTACCCATCTAAGGCCGATTCCTTTGCAACAGTCAACTTAGTTGGGCATTCAATATCCTCCTGCAAAAATGAAAATGAAAAATGTTAAATGGATATAAGCTACAGTATAAATGGCATAATTAATAAAGGGCAAGCTGACTGTGTCTCTCGAAAGAGCATCTCCCAACCATAAACTCACCTCACCTGCGGTCCTTCGCAGTTCCTTGCTCCTCTGCAGTCAGCACTGCAAGTTGACTGTGTTGGCAAACCTGGGGAGTGATTATGTCACTCCCTTAATCATGTGACAGTGCTCAGACCTAGCCATTGGCTGCTACTGCCTGGCACCATCACTGGGGTGGAGGATACATGATCCTCCATGCTCACAAGTGCCAGGTTCTCTTACAAGCTGCAGAGGAGGAAGGAGCTGCATGGTTCCAGACCCATTGGAACAAAAAGTTTGCTTTGTCACGACTGTTTATTTGGTGCCATATGAAGAGGGATAAGGGATCAAAGGCACTTTAACACTTAAAAAAAAAAGAAAATTCTCAAATATAGATATGCAGTGACTATATTAGGCAGGCATATTTGTAAGGGCATACCCCTCTCATGCTATTACTCAGAGCTGATTACTCAATTTCTGGTGAGCCAATCTTGATTAGTGTAGTTGAGCTGAAGCAGTGCGATGCATCTAGCTGGTAAATTATTTGATTTCACTTGCACTGTTATTAATACATAGAAATGGAAAACAGAGTTCTATATTTCCATGAATTACCATTGAGTGGTATGAGATTTAACAGTAGCAGCACACTTTATTAAACGGTGATCCATGTATCTAGGTGTTTTTATGTTCATTGTCATTTAGTTGTTTGATGGAACCCTTTAATCTGATACAATGTAAACATTGTAAAATAGAGATGCTGTAAAAGCAGATATAAGCAGCGGTCTTACTGCCATATTTCCAATGGCTGGTGGTATCAGGTTATACTCTAAGAAATCTGTGCTACTGGGGCATTACATTCTTTGTGATACAATCAATATGTGAACTCATGCAAACAGTTAATAAAAAAGTAAATATTATGCTGACAACACATACATGTAAGAAACAGAACATACTAGTGGGTTCAGAGTAAAATTTATGAAGATTAGAGTCATGGAGAAGTGCTGAATTTGCCAAGTGAAAAGTTGCAGACTAAGAGGTAGGCGGTGATTTATGGTAGTAAGCTAATATCATAGCACCTACTGAAGTTATTATTTCTCATTGCTCAGAGAAAGGCAAATAATTAACTGTACCAGATTCAGCTCCAGTGACCAATCAGAGGGGGGGAACTGTAATTTTGAGCTTAAGCTTGCCAGCTCAAGATTGCTTAATGGCTTACGGGGGGCTTGAGTGCTCCTGGAAGCTCATGGTCCACAGGCCACAAAATATAGTTGGCTAGTACTATTATCTTCTAATAGGAAGGGAATAAGACTTATCCTAGCCAGTAATGGGATATGCCTAGTCCATCAAGACACTACCTAAGGAATTTAGAGGTATAGCAACATAAGAGAGTTCAAAAAAACCTGCATGGCATCTCAATACCAAACACTATAAAGAAAATTATATGTGAACATTTTTAATCTTGTCTTCCTCTTTCCTTAGCAAAAACGAAGAAGCAATAGACTGCTAAACAGACAGCTGACAATATTACCAAGAGGCTGTAAGGAAGGGAAAGTAAGCTTGCAATGGGAGATGCCATTGCTGGCCTTATTATATAACGATTATTTGCCTGGCTGTTATGCTGACCCACTGCCATAAGTAATGGATCGAGAAAGTCAAAAGTCGTTATCTGTATACTTGTTCTAGGCCAAAAATCTAAAGTATGAAAGCTAGGGACAGGCAGGCAACTAACATGTCTCCCAGCCCTAAAGCCCATTTGGAATGTTAAAGGGGAACAGAGCAATGTGGTGCACTGGGAGAAGGAGAGGGAGACATAAGGGCCAGTGGGTTAAAAAAAAATCAGGGAGGCTGGTAGCTGCTCCACCGAACTTGAATTGTTCTCTTCCCTGGCAGGCCACACAATTTAGCATTATATGTAAAAAATAATAATAATTATATATATATGGACTTGTGAATTTCTGGTAAAGTATGACTTTGATATTCTGTGAATGATAGTTTTCCTGCAGTCTGTGATATTTATTTGAAAATTCCAATAGGACTTTTATAAGAAAATAATATTTTTCTAAAGATCATGAAATGGTTTAGACATTTTGAGAAGCAGACTGGAAAGGTTCTGCCCCCTCAATAATACACCAAAGCTGTTCACCTGTTCTCTAAGCTCAGATAAGCCACAGCTCAGAGAGAACCTGAATTGTGCTGCGAGATATAAGCCCAGTTGCTTAAATTAGAACATAGAATTTGTTATATTTCTGAAACAACAAACGACTCCCGAATAGTAATGTCCACTGGATATTTGTTGTCACCTAAAGATTGTCCAATAGTTCCATCTGTTGAAATCGTAGACAGGTAATTAATTTCAAAGTGCACCCTATTGATTTGAATATCTTAACAATTGTGTGATAACAGCTGTGAGAGTTTTCTCATACTGAACATGTATTTAAAGCAAACCAATAAGGTTCACAAAGTTTGCAAACTCAAGGGTCTGTTTATAATAGGATAAATGTCAGATTCACCCAAGATTTTCCATATATTCACCAAATGGTTCATATTAAAAGCTTATTCACATCATTAGTCAACATGTTTACCTATTCCAAAAAAAATTTGCCAAACATCTCAGTGTCCTCTTTGTTTATGTTGGTTTCCATGCACCATTGTTTAAATATACAGATGTAGAATTTGGTGCACAGATATCCTTTTCAGTGCCTTTTTAATCTGGCCAGATCTGCATTTAGTGCACTTTCACCAAAATGGATTTGCATTTCTCCAAAGATGTATTTGCTCTCTGGAGCCGTTTTTTTGCCCAGATTTATAATATCAGTTAATGTTGCTGACAAATAGTGGTGAATATGGATAGATTCAGAAAAATAAAGTACCTGAGCCAGCCCAGTTTTCATTCAAGTCTTTTTTTGCGATAGAGTGTTGAAGGGTTAGACCCTTTGTCAAGTTTTATTGCCGTCTGTGTCCCCTCTAGGGATTCATTTTCCCTATTTGTACTGGGGATGATTGTCACTGATACAGTAAATAAGGGGAATCCAATTTATTAGACTTGGCACCAGAGCAAGTGGTGAGAGTAAATTATCCAATGGGGATTCCTGATAAGGGTTTTAACTCTGTCTTACTCTATCCAATACGGAAAAATAAGTTTGGGCTATAAATAAACTTCAAGTATATAATCTAACAGCATGTACAAAACAGTGGCTGCAAATGTATGTGCACACGGGAAGCCCTCCAGTATTATTCACATGCAAATGGAGGCCTTGACTGCACTATGACTCTGGAGGTATTCCCCATGCCCTGCCATCCCAAGAGTCACAGAGAGCACCTCCTCTTTGGATAATGGCATGAGGGAGAAATATGCAAATGGAAGGGGTTTACAATGCACCCAGATTATGCTCATATGTGTGTAACACCTCCAGGGAAAGCCTGTTTGAGCTGTGAAATGGTGTTTTTTGTACTACTAGGTTTTCTTACAAGCTAGCTTCATTATAGTACTGGAAATGGCTATCCATTAGCGAAACAACTGCATTCACAGACTGTTTTATAATCCTTGTGGAAGAAACAGGCAGTGTTGGAAAGCGGTTAGGTGGCAGCTTGGTAAGTACAGAGCTATTATTTCCTGAAGCTGTCAGCAATGAGTAGCCTGCCGGAGGTTCGCCTCAGCCGATCCAGATGTTGGTTCGGCTGAGTCGAACTCCTTCTGCAACATGCTGAGTTCGGCTCACTTCACTTCAGATCGGTCATTCACTCGGCTGCCCTCGGCAGCTTCGTGAATAGACCCCTAGGTCTATTTGCCCGTCAGAATGGGATGTAACAAGTTAAGTGAGTGCTGAAGAGGCTATCATTTATTTATTTTTTTATGCTGCAAACTGTGTCGAAGTTGCTTGATACTGCAAATGCTACCTAGGTTCATGCATCAGCCGCTTTAAAGCCTGAACACAACAGGAAATACATTTCGTTTTTAACCACTTCAGGATTTGGAATGCAAGAGATATATCTTCAGCATGTACCTTTTCCTGGCAATTACTGGAAAATACCACCTGTCATAATGACAGGTGGTAATTGGTTTACACTACACAGCAGGAGTGGCTGTCAAAATGCAGCAGCTCCTGCGTAAAATGACACTTGCAGAGAGTCTACAAGTGTCAATTAGTAAATGGAATGACTCATTGTATTGTTTCATTGTATTTAGTATTTTATTCATATGTAGATCAAAGCCCTGGCCTTTAACATTCCTATTTATCACTTTTTAACAATTAGTTAACCCTAATCAGACTTTAACTCCCCCCTCCCCTTGACTATTACTTTTCTGTTTTCAAATTTCTATTTCTGCCATCATTTTTTTCATTTTGTTTTTGTTACTTTTTTCAGTGTTGCATAATAAAATGACCACAATTTTTTTTTAAAAAAGGCTTTTTTTTTCATTTGCAAATATCTGTGCCATGCTTTGTACCAGAAATATAATTTTTGTCTCATTGTAGTAGAATGAAATATGTTTTTTGTTTATAGTAAAACTACTTTGTTTTTAAAACTATTTTCATATTTTTTTTCATGTTGCCTTCATATATAAATAATATTTGCAAAACAATATTGCCAAATAAAGCATAGTCCTGCAACCCCCCCCAAAAAAAAGGTCCATAAGAGCTGAAGTGGTTAAACTTTGAGAACCCAGCATGTTTACTTTACTGCACGATATTCCAAGTAGATATAATTGCAATTATTGTCCTTGTATATGAAATATGTATGAAATATTTGGAACAGCCATGGTGATGAAGTTAGTAATTATGGAGATATAATATCCATGCTAAAAATAAAGTGCTAGGCTGGGTGATTACCATCACTCATCAACCAGAGAAAGAGTAACATACAGTACTCATTTTTCAATTTTATAATATGCGGGTAGCACATGTAGGGGGAAATATTATTA